TGTGTGTGTGTGTGTATGAACCTGACCTCCTATCTGGGTTTTTGTTGAGCAAGCGTTTCAGAAGATTCTGGAAGTCCTCACTGGGTGGACTGGATGAAAACTCTGAAACAAACAACAAAGAAGATAACTTTACAACACATTAATTAAACAAACAAAAAGCTGTTACTCTTTAACAGCAACATGCAAGCGTAAGTTGTTCTGTGTCTGAATGTGTGTGTGAGAGAGTGTATATTACCTGTCTGTCTGGGAGGTCGTGGTTCCTGATGTAAAATCATTTCCGTCAGTTCAGTGCAGCTATCAGAACAGAATGGAGGTTTACCTGCAAAACAAAAACAGTTTGGATTTAGGTTTACAATAAAAAACAATATAATATAGTATAACACTAAATGTTGAATGTTAATATCTTGTTGTCTGTTAACTGCAAGATTCAGTCATCAGTTATAATACACTAATTCTGTTCATAATTAGGATTTTTTGTTTTAATCTATTCATCATCAGTAGCATCATCATAATTATCATGAATTAGAAGTACCCAACAATAGCGAAAAATAGGAAGAAAATGTTAAAATCAATTCACACTAATTAATATTCAGTGTGTGCATGTGGCAGTGTGTGTGTACGTGCACATGTGGGTACCAGTGTACATGTAGTAGAGTATACAACCCAGAGCCCAGAGATCAGAGCTCCTATTGGTTTCTGATCCCTGCAAAACCTCTGGAGCGCTGTAAGTGGGAGAACCTGAAAATGCACATACAGTCATCAGAAAAGACAAAAACAGTAAAAGAAGACAGGCATCCTAATCATACACAATAAATGTTTTGATGTTAAGTGATGTTAGTCAAATTTTACATTTGTGGGAGCTAAATTGTGAAGAATTCAATAAATAATAATCCCGCCCCCCCAACCTTTTGAAATCAAACATGAGAAAAGCTGTTTTTCAACCTATTGTTGCACACCCAGTTATTCCTCAGGTGACACTAGTCTTTTTCTGCATGCTTTTCTACCACCTGTCACATAAAATCCCTGCATGACTCGTCACGTTCCCCGGCTGCCGAAGAGTTCAATTCAACTGGATCCACTGGCTAATCTACTTCTCCAATAATCAACAATGCAATGTATACACAGAACTAACATGATAACAAATACTCATCTGACCTTGTAGTCTTTTCCTGTTATCTCCTTCACCTGACTCCTCAGGTGTAGAGAGCAAGCTAAAGAAATGATCCAGTGTCTCTCCCTCTACCTTGGACGTACAGAAGTTACCAAACTTCAGAATGCCACTACCATCCAGTAGGATCTAGGGACAACAAAACCAGAGTTACTGTATCCATATGATAATGATACTTCTGCTGATATACTGTTAAGTCCTACACACACATGAATGCAGATACAAACCTTAGCAGGGGTCAAGTCAGAGAAAATGATTCCTAATTCATGGATATGTTTCAGTCCTTTCACCAAGTCCCATCCAAACCTCCTCACCACATCTTCTGACAGAAATCCATCATTAGCAATTACAGTCTGCAGGGAACCACCTGATGGGGACATTGACAGCCAGAGAGAAAAGGGGAGACAAAAGCATGAGAGAGGAAAAGTAAACCAGAATAAAAGGGTATTTACTATTAGGGAAATCTTATCAGTTCAAAGCTGCTATAAGATGCATTTCTCGCTCTACGTTATCTGATGGCTGAAAACCAGAAATGTATAAAGTTATAATAAGTAATAACTATTAATGGCACATGACTGCTTACCAGGAGAGCCAGGAATAACTACTGACCTGTACAGAGCTCCACCACCAACCAGAGGTGATTACTCGTCTCATACCACTCATAGAAGCATACTATGTTTGGATGATCCAGATCATGGCTCAGACGTACCTAACAGGGAACAGAATCAACACCATCATTTAATGTGTACAGTGGGTACTGCAAGACTCAAAAGCAAAACCCACCAGGAAAAAGACTGGTCATTTCTCTGCAGGCTGCAAAACACATCGGTTTAAAGCACTACCCTACATGGTTAGTGATCTCAGGTCGCTTGGCTTTGTCAGTGCAGATAATGGCTACATAGTTGAGATTGCCCTTCCTTCTTCCTTTATAGACAACCGAGCTCCTGCCTGTCCCAAGCTCCTCGTACAGGATGAAGTTCTCCATTCACTGTGGAACAGAAACCAAAGGGACAAAGTTACACTCATTAGACATTTTAAGAGGCTGAGCAAAAAGAAGAGAAGAGAGTAGAGTTGTTCATCCATGAGGAAAAGACACAGACTTTTTTCATCACAGAGTATTTTATAACCTTCGCTTTATCATAAACACTGTGCATTTGCTGTGATGTTATCCACTCCACAAACAGAAATATAATGTAATACTCTAAATATGTTTTAATAGTTAGAGATTATCCTATTATTACATTACCACAAACAAACTTATTCAAGTTGTTGTTTATTTGGTTTGACATAGGCCAGCAGTCTTTACAAATAAATCATCATTAAATTATTTTATCACGGCTCAAACAAATAAATATGAACATACTGTAAAGTAATACTGTAATGTGTCATATATCTAACGTACACTCGTCCTGTTAGGTTTGCTATAAGTGAGTTCACATTTAACAGAGACATACAGCTAACATTACCTGTAAAGTTAATCAGCTGATTATAATTACGGCTAATTAACCTAACACCTGTTTCACTCTGAAGGCTTGATTTGAGCGGAAAAGCTTTAATTTCCAACTAGCTATGGCTCTAAAACATGTGGCTATTGCAGTTATATTAAATGGGATGTGTGTAGTTAGCTTTGAAGTGGTGAATAAGATATTAGCGTTAAGTTAAACTGTCATGGTAGAGGCTAACAGCGGGCTTGTATTTATGTGGTCTGGCCGTCGTCTGTTCAGGAGCACAGGCAAAGTGTTCGCTTGTAACAAGACCAAAGTTACCCGCAACACCTAAAAAGTAACGTACGTACCTAAAAACTGCATACAACTACAGACACCGCGGCCAAAAACTTAACTAACAATATGTTTGTAATTCCTCACACTCAATATCAACTTACATTAACTTTAACGTTACCTCTTCAACGGCCCGCTGTTTGTTGGCGGAAGAGTGGTGGGCCACGTAATTCCAACTAGAAGAGGGAAGTCTGGAAGTATTCAAATAAAGTGAAAGCTAAATTAAGTCACCGAAGTCATTACATATGTGTAAAGAAGTTTTTTTCCTTTTTATAAAGTATTTCCACACGCACACGATTCAAGAAATACGTTGGTTTCATTGTAAAAGTTGTTGTAGATTTTAACCCAACCACCTCCAAATGGCATATTCCTGCGTCGCTAGGATACAAGGGCGCTCACAACAGACGGAGCATGGCGGAGGGCATGAAATCTAACAATCACACGCACCATCAAAATAAAACATTTTAAAAAGTATATAACACAAATGTAAGCAGCAAGTTCCACAATTTACAAAATACACGTTTCCAAGCCACAGCTTTTTATTTACAGTGACGCTCTTAGATTTTCTTTTTTTTTTTCTTCAAAAGTGAATGTTTGTTACTCTTATTTTAATACTACAGTCAATATAAAAATGTCCTGCTAAAACTGCATGGTATGTATGTTATATTGCTCACGGTTCAGCATTAAAAGACCCCCCTCTCTCTCTCTACACACACAACACAACACCAACACACACACCACACCACACCACACACACACACACACACACACACACACACTATCAGACCAATCAAAAACTGTACTCTGATGGTCTGATAGTGTGTGTGTTTGGTGTGTGTGTGTGGTGGTGTGGGTGTGTGTGTGTGTTGTGTGCTGTGTCGGTGTGTAGGACGAGAGAGAGAGAGAGAGAGAGGGGGCGGAGGGGGTCTTTAATGCTGAACGTGAGCAATATAACATCTAGTACAAATGCAGTTTACACACACACACACACTATCAGACCATCAGAGAGTACAGTTACGTCATGCATACTGTCTGTCATTGAATAAAACCTGCAGCGGGACACAAGGCACCCGGGACACTCCTGAATGGATTTTATGCACACTGCAACCATCGGAAATGTTGCAGTCATGTGCGGGTTCACCGACCCAAAAATGGTGAGGTCGGAATTTTCTATTATAACCGAGCAACAGCCACTATAAAACACCATTACCTTACAGGACCCGTCTGTATTTATCTGAACAAGCAATTCATAATGCTGTTAAGCACTTGGTTAGTCCATTAGTGAACATTAGCCTATAAAAATTTAGTTTTTGCCAATTATAGAATAAAACCCTCATACAATAATTTAATAAAACCAACAGTTTAAGTAGGCCTATGAAGCAAAACCAAGCAAGGTGAAATGGGGTGAAGAATAATTTAAAACTGTCTAAATGTTGGGGTACTGTATATAGATAAAGAAAGGATGAACAACAGGGGACAGTGGAAATCCTTTCGGTGCACAAAACTTAAAACTTCCTAATGTGTAATGTGACACACGATTTGTAAGAGTGCTATTTCCTGAGAGTATTTCATTCTACAAAATAAAAGCAACAAATAAATTCAATTTAATAAACGTTTTCTCTTACATTTGCCCCTTACAACATTGTATAAATACATAAATAAATGTCATGAACATGGATTTCAAAAGTAGGCTGTTTTAATGATTGGTGACACTTGTGTTGCAGAAAGGTTAGCCCTTTTTGTGTGGTGATACATACTGCAACAGCCAGATTACTCTGTCGCTCCTTTTCTTGAGCAGAATTACACAAATAAATCCTACTTTCGACCTCAGCTGTAATTTATTGTCACCTGTTCATTTCCATGTGTTATACAGACAGTAGAGATTGACACAGATAATCCCATAATTTAGACTGAAAAGATTTCCGACCTTGCTTTGGATAGGTGTTAGTAATTATGTTTAGTTTGAAAACACACTATGACACTATTATTTCCATAATAATAAAACTATTGTACTACTTTGTTCCTTTCATATTAAAAGGCCTTTCTCATGCTTATCAACAAGCTCTCTAAATGCAGCCCAGTGTTTTACATATTCCATATTTGCATATATGTGATTTCCATTGTCCATATCACACTTTATATGCACGATCCAGGCAAACAGAGTTCACACACTACCTTAAAGGGTATTTATTATGCTTATAAAGCTTAATCCATATTATCAATACATAAAGAACTGATATTCTGAAACAAGCTATAACCTGATATGAATGCAGTTTATTTTGGAATCGGTCCCACCGGATGTACTCCCACATTGTTTCTACCTTGACTCAGCAGCTTTGTTTCCATTAAGCGATTCAGTCACCCTTACAAAGAAAACCACAGCAAAGAGCTGCTGAACTTTTGTGAACAGACACAGGACTGACTCTGAATTATTCCTCCGTTCACTTGGCTCGTTTTCCGCCTGACTGTGGTTTGATAGTGTGAACTGTGTGGACCTCTGCCCCCCCCCTCACACACACACACAGTGTTTCCCAGTAGCGGTGCCCTCCGCAGTCGGGGTTAGGGTTTAGGTTAGGTTATGGTTGGGCGGAGCAGCGATATCTGGTTGGGGGTTTAGGGTAAGGTTGGGGTCGGGTTAAGCAGCTCTGGTTGTGGATAGGACTGAGGTTACTCTCAGGTTAACACACACATCGACGGGGAGGCAGACTTCGGCACCACGCCGGTCGTATCGCGGCGTTTTTGGCTCAAATCTTTTTATCTGATCGCCAAACGGAGGAACCGGAATCATTTCACCTCTGCGGGGAAGTCTGCTAAAGCGGTAAGAAGAAGTCTTTTGTGAGTCTGTGAGCGTCTCAGATTGAAAGTTGTTGATGATCATGTGGTGATTTGATGATGATTCTGGAGCAGGTGCAGCGTGCACACGGTTCGGTAGATAACAGGTTACTCAACACTTTTTCCACAGTCTCTCCATGAGTGGGACCCGGGTCTTTTCCTCGTTGCATGTATACTAGCTGGCCCATGTGGTTTTGCAGGAGAAGCATCCGTTGGTCTGATATAATGAGTAGTTTGCAGTAGTTTGCAGTCGTTGGTCTGACTCAGAAGTGAAAATGTGCAGCTTTGAGAGTGTGTCACAGCCGTTTGTGGGCACCTTTTAATAAGATTGATTTCAGGATTTGGCTGGGCCTAATCCTATCACAGTAAATCTGCCTCCACTCATTAAAAGTGACTGAAGTCCTCTCAGTCTCCATAAGCAGTGTGACTCATTATCAGCTATGTTACCTCTCTGACTGTGAGCAAACCTTTGCCATTAGTGTCAAGATTGTGTGTTATTTCTCCTCTGCTCAGTCAGTGGGAGCATTGTGGACATGAATCAGAGTTTTTGTAAGACAGAAGTGTACCCTTCATCACCACTATACATATTACATACAAAGCAGTTAGCTTTCCAGTCTTTAGCCATGGTCATGCATTCATACTTTGTACATCTCTCTGTGTATCTTACATCTGTTTGAGTGATTTTTAGTAATGTAATGTGTAATTAGTCTTACATTCATAATCCCCATATTAATTTCCTTCATTTAAAATATATTTTACTTTTCAGTTTTTTCCTTTACAAAACAGTCACAAAGGAGGAAACTGACACAATCAGGCCGGTTACAGAGGGCTTGTGAACGTTTACTGAGATGTGGATTGTCTTGAAGAGGCTGCAACACAATATTGTACCTTCAGTGTGAATGTTATTAAGGGGGGCAGTGTTCACATGAGCTACTCTGCTGAGGAGGAGGGTTTCTCATCCAGTCCAGAGAGGCTAAATAAGGTTCCAGTTGGTTGTGCCAACTAAGAGCACATGATCTGTGGAAGGTCTGCGTACCGTCTCACCGCTCAGACACACAGCGGGCCTCGCTGTCAACTCAGAGACTCCTGAGAACGTTCAACACACAACCAGAAGCTGGACCTGAACAGATAGCTCGTATGTCCGACAGATAGAGCGACTGACAGATGGGCTGTGGGGTGGGGGGAGGTGTTTGTTCTTATCTGACCTCTCTGTCTCACTCCAAACACACGCGCACACACACAATCACACATTCACAGGGTTGTAGCATATGGTAAATCACTTATAGTTAGACGTAAGTTATATCAGTATAAACCGAGCACCCGCTTTAAACAGGTCAGCATGAGTTTCAAGGACTAAACTATATATGACTTTCTACAAGAAATAAGAAATGATGGAGTGACGACAGTGAGTGGTATGAGAGTGGTTTCATGTGAGTTTGCTGTACTCTGTATTGCAGATTGATTTGAAAGGACCGAAAAAAAAGTAAAAGGTTGCTTTTGTGTATGAATGAGGCCCTCAATATTAACTTCAAAGCGCGTTTACTGCACACTTTCACTGCTGAGTAACTTTATGGATTTATGACTTGCTGAATTTCGGTTGATTTTTACGAAAATGTTTCACGACAGGGTTAGAGTGTGTGAGCGTGTTCAGTTAACACCGTCAGAGGAGTGAGGAGATGTTCTCACTGTGTTGCCTGTGGGATCGGCTGTTTGTCTGATCATAGGCTGACTCCCCCGACTGAATTGTTGGCAAGCTGATAGCATCATGCTGATACTACTGCGGCACCAAGAAAGTAGTTTAGCTACAGTGACTTTGATACAGTCCTCAGGATTGTCACGTCTGTTACACAGCATGTTTCTACAAGCAGGAAAAGAGAGTAAGAAGAAATAATATACTAGTTTTAGGTTTTCAAATTGATCTGGTGAAGGGTGAATTTAATGAGATTTGTGTATCATCAGAGATAAATCCTAATTGACAGATTTCCTCATCATGTGTCTATCACATCACAACTGCAGTGATTTTACGGGGGCTTAAAAAGGCTGAAATCCAATCATCTGAAGTTTAGGCCTTAAAATGAAGTCCAGTGTGAAACATTTAGGAGGATCTACTGGCAGAAATTGAATATAATATTCATAGGTGTGTTTTCATTGGTGTATTAGCATCTCAATATAGGAATCATTTTTTTTGTGTTTGTGTTGTTTTTGTTACCTTAGAATGAGCCGTTTTTATCTACAGACACTGCGGGTTGCCTATCATGCAAGCTGCCATGTTTCTACAGTAGCCCAGAAGGGACAAACCAAACACTGGCCTTAGATAG